ATTATAATATACGAATTCTTTTGTTTGTTGATTTGTCTGAGGCGAGACTGGACAGTGCATGTTTCTTGACGGCTATCTCCCCCCTTATTGTTTTACTAAGCAAATATATTCCATAAGTGGCTTGCTTAAAATGTTCGCCCGTTGCTCATTACGATCCATCTTCCATGTTCTAGAAGAATTGTAATGCAGTATAATTCCAGTATTATTCAAAATTTTGAGAAAAGAAGTTATAGACAAATATCAAAATTTGAAGCAGTTTACCATTCTGAGGTTTGCGCCAAGCATGTCTGCCAAGAATTCTGGAAATTACGTTAAAAAGATAGGACTCTGAAATGAAAAAAATACTTATATGCTGTGGTTCTCTGTCAAGAATGAGAACATGTTTTTCTAGAATAATTCAAAAGCGGAATCTTAGTTGCTTTTTTTTTTTTGTTTGTTGGGATATATATATATATATGTGTGTGTGTATACATACATACCAACGTACTTACATTAGGATTGTGATTTTCTGTAAAAATATTTATATATTTTTTGTGTACATATTTTTCAATCACCTTTTGATCCCACATACATCAAATTACTACTGTACATTTTTCTGCAATCCAAACGAGTTAGATGCTCGAGCATAATCAATGGAACAAAAGAGGATTTTTTATCAGCTTTCCTCCACTCTTGGGTTTTTCCTGTAAGCACCAAACTTCATCAACCCGTAACTGAAATTGGCTCGAATTTGTTACAATCACTTGTTCTCTGACGTAGTTTTCAGAATGTATAGCATTGTTCGAACTTCTGCAAGTGATTTTTGGTAGTGTATCTAATTTAAATAACTCCATATACAGCTGAATAACTCCTACCTGTTGATCATCTTGTCACTTTTTAAAAGATACCAATGTTACTTCTACAGCGAAGGACAAGACCCTACAAACCTCGCTCATACAAGGTATATATCTACAACAATTGTTTCAAGGTAGTTTTTGGGCTACCCATAAACTTTTTGTCCCTGTTTTCTATTAAGCATACAAATTGAATAATGTGTACCAAAATCTCTTGATTTCCTAGCATATATATGTTGTGTAAACAAAAGATGAATTGATTGATTTTTTTTTTTTTACTTCAATTTAAGGGGAAAATTGAAAGACCTTGTAATTTTAGAGGCTCATTTCACAGTTTATGTTATATGGATGTGGAAATCGTACAAAGACAAATAAAAAGGCATAGTATCACATGCTACCAAATAGTGTGTCACTGCTATCAACTTCCCATGATCTTTTAACTCGTAATGAAAATGTTCTAATGAAAAAACAGAATGGAGGAAAGGGATGACAAGAATAGCTGATTGCTTTGAATGGCAGATAGGATCTTTTCAATGTGAAAATCGATTTGAACATAGACAATATGTTTGATTCATTAAGCTTAAGGCGATCGCCACTTAATGTTACTGAACGAATACCTTCTCTACAATAACATCGCTTAGGCAAATAACCAAAAAGTGGCTTAATCCGTGGGTATTTTACTAATTATTTCCGGAATAAATCATTGATAATGAGAATTGAAGACTAAATTTTAAGTTTTTCCCAAAAAGAAAAATTACTTGTTGAAAATTAAGTGTCCAATAAACCTTTATAGCATAACGTATTTCTTTTTAGTAAAATTTTTTCTTAAAAAAAAAACTCTGGTTCTATAACCAAAAAAAATCGAGAGTTGCAGACTTGCTCAAAGAACTTTTGTCTATCTTCTTGTTGAATTTTTATTCTTTAACTATCTATAATTATTTCTGAAAATTTTATTTAACTATCTATAATTTTTTTAAAAAAAAAAACTCTGGTTCTGTAACCAAAAAGACCCAGAGCCTCAGACTTGCTCCAGGAACTTTTGTCAATCTTCTTGTTGAATTTTTATTCTTTGACTATCTATAATTATTTCTGAATTATTAATCTAAAAATAGTCTCCAGCTTTAGAAAGAAAGAAAATTTAATGGTTTCTAGGGTCCTTCTTGAGTACTTTTGCCGGGCAGCTTCCTACTCTCTGGAACATCACCAAGTTGAAAATCTCTCAAGCGCGTATACGACAAGAGAAATTTTACAAAATCTGACTTAAGCAAAAGTCACTCGTTTTCTCAAGAAAACTTCAAAAAAGAAGCGGAAATCTTATCGCCAAATCTCATACCTCGTCATAGTACCATGACTCTATAAATACAGGCTGCCTAAAGTTTTCCATCACCAGTTCACCACTAAAAGCTTCATTCACCTTTATATTCTACCGGCAGCAGCAAGCTATCAAAACAAAAATCTCGTGCAAATAGATTGTCAAAATCAATGGCAGAGAACGGTCAGCAACGAAAGGCCTATGACGAAGAGGTGGCCTCAGTTGCTGAAAGAGAAGAGCGTCGCAAGAAACGAATGAAGTGTTTTGCATATGTTGCAGCCTTCGCTGTGTTTCAAACAGCTGTTATACTGGTCTTTGCACTCGTTGTGATGAAGGTCAGGACCCCTAAATTCCGAGTAAGATCTGCCAGGTTTGATGATTTCCAGGTTTCAACATTGGTCACAAATGCTTCTTTCAGCGCAAGGATGAATGCAGAACTTTCCGTCAAGAACGCAAATTTTGGTCGCTACAAGTACCAAGACAGCAATATTGAATTTTTCTATCAGGACTATAAGGTAGGAGAAGCTGTTTCTCCCAAAGGAAAGGCTAATTTCAAGTCGACCAAGAAATTCATTGTCCCAGTGGATTTGAACTCTGCCAATGTGCCGGGAGACGTATTAGGAAATGAATTCAGGCAACACGCTTGGATCCCTCTGACTAGCCGGGCAACGTTAAAAGGAAAAGTGACACTTATGTTGATTTTTAAGAAAAACAAGTCCACCAACATGAATTGCACCATGAACCTTAATACTTCTTCTAGGCAGATCCAGGATTTGGAATGCAAATGATTTCATCAAGTGCCCTAGTTTATCCTAATGTAACACATTTTTCTATTGGGGATATTTTTGTATAGAAAGTCTTTTATTTGTGATTGTTTGGGAGAGTAACGTAGTTTACTCCAATCTCCAATTAGTCATTATTATTTGTAGTATGTACTATTTTGCAGTTCAAATGTTTTAGTGAATATTTAAAACGCTTTTCTGTCATTGACAGAGGTTTCCACTTCTGGTTGAAGATTACTGCTGCCAATTTCTGTCTAAATACGGCTAGAAGTTATTCCCAAATGCGCTTCCAATTTTCAAAGGATTATTTTTTTCTTATAGTAAATTCGAATATTAGATATAATTAAGAAAACATTTCAAGTCTATAGTGCTAAAACAAGCAATAAGAAGTTAAATTTTCCAATGCTCAAAGATAATTAAGCTCAACGTAAACTGAAAAAAAAAAATCTTTCTACTTGCGCTTTTCTGAAAAATAAAGGACTTTTTTTTTTTTTTTAATAAAATACCCATTGCTTTTGAGGAGAACCACTTGCCTAACTATCGAGACAGTCGTTCTTTGGATTTTGGGCATGTCATGTTCTTGTAGAAGATGACTTGTTAAAAGGGAAGACATCTATCTAGGGATTTGGCTCCCAGAAATGCTCGTTGAACCCTTGGGGTGTATTGCCTCAATCGTACGTTTTATACAGATTTTTGAGTTCTTATGAATCATATAAAATCTCGACCAATGTAATTTTGCAAAATTTGCTATCAATCACTGGATTCAATAGTTAAATGAAATTGGGAAATAGCGAGCATGGGTTTTCCTGAAAAATGACAATAAGCATGAATTTTCCAGGATTCCGAAATTGAAAATAAATTCAGCTGAATTTACTTGCATCATTCATGTCTGATCGATGTGATATTAATTAATTTAAAAAATATATTTTTTAATAGATAAAAAAGATATTAGGAAACTACTTTAGATGCTAACTATTTTGAAATTTGTCTAGGCAGTTGTAATGGTAGGAAACACTTTAACAACTCTCCCTTGTTCACCCGTCTTTCACCTACACATAAGCTTTGTCAAAACAAGTTTAGAAATGTACATTTAACCGTATCAATTAATATCCTTTTGTTTCATGAGGAAAAATGACAGGTATTGATGGTAGTACATTTTTGAGTTAATGCTTCTAGAAATCATACCCAAGAGTCAACACTAGCAGAATTAAGTGGATGTGAATTAGTCATTGACTCAATGGTGGGTAACTTCCAACTTTAAAGCAAATGTTTATCTGGTAGACTTCTGCAGCGCAACTTCCTAATATCTGGAAACTTAATTGGGAAAGTCAACAAATCAAAGCCGTTAAGAGCGTGTGGTTCAAAGGAATCACCCGAGAACTGGCTTTGCTAAGTCTATTCCTGCCTTTGCCGTTAGCTTTAAGTCACTCGTTTTCTTTTCACAAGAAAGAGAAAATCTTAAACGTTGGAGTTCTTCACCATAATAGATCTTCTGTCCTATTTTCTGCACCACTTTCTATTCCATTTTGTATTATATTGTTATTTCTCATTTATAAATATTATAGTTTAGTTCTTCTTTGTTTCCTTAAGATCCAATAACTACTAACTGGGTAATACATAAAATTTAACGTACTCACAAAATCAAAATGCATAAAAAATGAGATTTTTTAATGAATTTTTTGTTGTATTTTTAAATTTTCTATTATATATTACTTTTTTGAAACTTTTGTATTTATTTTTTTACTCAATTAATAGTTATTAGATTTTAAGGAAACAAAAAAGAATTAAAACATAATGTTCATGAAGAAAAAATAATAATATAATAAAAAATGAAACAGGAAGTGAGACGAAAGATCCGTCGCGGTTCTTCACAAGGCTAAGTAATCAATACTAATAAATTGGACAACCCTGACAACTATTTTATCGTACTATAAATACTCCCGTTCGACAGCCAAAACATTTCATCCGCCACTAAACCTTTCTTCATATCTACATTTTCAGCTTCATGAATAGACAGCCAAAATTAAACATCCCTGTGCCAACAAAAATATTACTAACCTAGTATCGGATCCGATGGCAGAGAACGGCGAACAAAAGGTTTATTGCTCAGCAACAGTCAACCCTTATGGCCGTGTGGATGAAGAGGTGGCCTCATTGGCTCAAAAGGACGAGCGTCGCAAGAAGCGCATGAAATGCTTTGCTTATGTTGCAGCTTTCGCAGTCTTTCAAACCGCTGTTATATTAGTATTTGCACTTGTCGTGATGAAGGTTAGGACGCCTAAATTCCGCGTAAGGTCTGCTGCATTTGAGGATTTCCAGGTTTCAACATTGACCACAAATGCTTCCTTCCGCACTCGCATGATTACAGAACTTTCTGTCAAGAATCCAAATTTTGGTAGTTACAAGTACCAAGATAGACTGTTGACTTCTTCTATCAGAACTATAAGGTAGGGGAAGCAGTGGTTCCTAAGGGAAAGGCTAACTTTAGGTCAACAAAGAAATTCACCGTTTCGGTGGATTTGAACTCTGCCAATGTGCCCGGGAATGTATTGGGAAGTGAATTGAGTCAGCATGCTTGGATCCCTCTGACTAGCCGAGCAACATTGAAAGGAAAAGTGACGCTAATGTTAATGTTCAAGAAAAATAAGTCCACCAACATGGATTGCACCATGAACCTCAATACTTCATCGAGGCAGCTCCAGGAATTGAGCTGCAAATGATTTGATTACATATCTAGCAGTTTGTATCAATACTATCGTTTGTATGATGAAGATATGCTAGTCTTCATGTGTTACATACAAATTTTTTTATTTGTTGTTTGAAGAGGGAGTAATGTGTCTTGTTTATTGTCCTGTAATAATTTCTACACTTCTGCAGTACGATCTAATTTTATAGAGCAGTATTTGTCCTTTTGGTAAATGTTCTTATTTGGTAATGAGCTTTCTACTTTCGAGTTTTCCAGGTTATTGCTATTAAGTTTATCTACAACAATTACTCATAATCACGAAATAACCACATTCGGTGACACCAGTGGTATGTAAAGGGACTTCTGCTCAATTTCCAAATGACAGTTCCCATGTTTAGTTCAGCTTATCATTCTAGTAGAGTAAAAAAAAATTTAAAAAATAATAATAAACAAGAAAAGGCTCAATTTGATATTGGGGGTGCGTTGGACATGCTACGTCATCCAAAAAATTACCAATTAGAAACTATCATAATCTAATTCAAATACACGACCAAAAATCCACCTGTGATAAGGGCATAAGCTAACTCCTTGGAAAGTTATTGGAACACCGTAACGATTAAATTTCATGTTGGACTTCGACCTAGCATGTACACCATTAATTTGGTGCTTTTACGGTTGCTTTCTATAAGATTATAATCAATCAGTTTTTATTCGGTTCATTTCAAACTAAAACAAAGTTGAGGGGACAAGAGGGCAAAATTCAGTCAAACTTATTGAATGAGAAAGAAATATCAGCTTATATTGTAGTATATCTTTGATTCTGGATTCTTGCAATCCCCTAACAAATTTTAGCTTGAAATTTAATAATTAAATTATTAGATTTAAACGATTATAAATTTCTAATGCATTTGAAAAGTTAGATTCTACAAATTAGCTCTTAAGTATTTGGATCACATGGTTTGTATATGTACATATACATATACCTATTATACACACATACATTACTGTATATAACCAGGAGCACACATCTTTTAGTCAAAGTATTTGATGGGGACGCTTGATGTGTTTCAATTATGAAGTTTGAGAATTGCTGTAGATTAACTAATTCTACTAAATCGAAATAGTCATACATGGTTTAAGTGATACATATGTTACACAGATTGGTAGCAAATGCATGTGACAGTGAGAAAGGAGAAAACACTAAATTAATAAATGATTTTTAAAAAAGATTTAGTAACTAAGGGATGAAATTTAAAAAGCAGGAAGAAGGACAAAAGAATTTGTACTTAAAACTTCTTATTTTTAGAATCTTAATTGGGATGATCTTTTTCATATGTCATTAGACATTGAGTGGATATCAAAGTTGAGTCTTGTACATATATTGCTTTTGTGCAAAGAAATTATTTCTAACAAGTTGGCTACATATGGCAACTTTTCAAAGTGACTGTCCTATAAACTTACTGGTTGGATAATAATAGTCCACATAAATGTTTCGAGTGCCAGAAGTGTACGATAAACAAACAATTATTTCTAAACATTCTAGAGCAACAGATTACTTAGAGCCAAGAATAACCAGTTATGCAACATCAACAAGACAGAATCTATGGTACTCCCAATTCCGAAGTTACAACCTCAATTTCAACAAACCGCTTATCAGGGTTTTCAGGGCAACTTCCCAAACATCTGGAAAGTCGAGAAATTAAAGCCCTTTAACGTGTCTACAAAGTCTACTCCTACCTTTACCGCCTTTAGCATTAGTTACTCGTTTTCACAAGAAAAATTCAAGAAAGGAGTTCTAATTATGCAAGTCTTCAGTAATAGGACACTACAAATACTCCCAGTGACTGCCGAAAATTTTTCATCACCAACTGAAGCTTCCTAGATCTGTAGCTATACAAATTTCAGCTTTCAGCTTTCGTTGAGCAGCAAGTAAAAAGCCTAGAACCGTCTCTTGTTAAATATTGATCAAAAGCATCAAATATAATGGCAGAGAACGGGGGAGAAAAGGTTTATGCCGCGGCAACTGCCAATCCTTATGGACGAGTGGATGAAGAGTTGGCCTCGGTCGCCCAAAGGGAAGAGCGTCGCAAGAAGCGAATGAAGTATGTTGCATATGGTGCGGCCTTTGTTGTGTTCCAAACTGCTGTTATATTGGTCTTCTCCCTCGTGGTGATGAAGGTTAGGACGCCAAAATTCCGCGTGAGGTCGGCCACATTTCAGGATTTCAAGGCTGCAACATTGCCCACAAATTCTTCCTTCACTACCCAGATGTTTGCAGAACTCTCTGTCAAGAATCCGAACTTTGGTCGCTACAAGTACCAAGATAGCACTGTTGAATCCTTCTATCAGAACTACAAGGTAGGGGAAGCTGCGATTCCCAAGGGAAAGGCTAGTTTCAAATCAACGAAGAAATTCGCTGTTCCAGTGGACTTGTCCTCTACCAATGTGCCCGGAGATGTGCTTGGAAGTGAACTGAGTCAACACGCTTGGATCCCTCTGACCAGTCGAGCAACGTTGAATGGAAAAGTGAGGCTAATGTTGATTTTCACGAAGAAAAAGTCCACCAACATGAGTTGCACCATGAACCTCAATACCTCCTCCAAGCAGCTCCAAGACTTGGAGTGTGTATGATTTTGACTGCAAAATTATCTGTTCTTGTATATTTTGTCAGAGGAGAGTGTGTGTTTCTTTGCTTGTTCGCTGGATTTCTTTTTTCTTCGCACTATGGAATTTCAAGTACCTTATACAATAAATCTACAATTTATCTAATATTGCAAAATGTTTTCTCATGTGGCTTTTGTGTATCTTGTTAGGGTTTCAAGTACCTTTTTTTCTCATGTGACTTTTGTGTATCTTGTAGGCTGAATCAAAAGAAATTTATCTCCACTATGGAATTTCAAGTACCTTATTTGTTCGGTTTTGGGCCTTCTGGCCACAAGGCTGGACACTTGAGATTGGTCATAAGTTAAGAGTCAGGGAGAAAGCGTTTTTTGCGCACCTAATGTAATGCGACTATCTGCTTCAGTTAGAGACATGGAATCGAGGCGTTGTGTAATTTCTGTTGGTGCTATTGTTGCACCATTCGGGCGAAATCTTCTAAATACAAACCCAAAGTCCGTAAACTCATTCATTAAGTTGGCCTTAATTGCTGATTCTTCTAGGGAAAATTTTCTTGCTGGTTTTTTCCTTTTTCCGTAGTCTAATTTTTCGGAGGGAAAATGTCCAAGCTAGTACTACTGTCTTTCGGAGGGAGAAGATCACATTTCCAAGCTAATACTAGACTATCTTATAAAGAGCATGAGCATAATTCTATTGGAGTCGATTGGAGAGCTGACGGTGATTCAATCATCATCGGACCAAATAAATGCACTACACATTCGTGTAAATTTGAAGAAGTTACATGTAGTGGTAAAATGATGGGAGTTCGTTGGGCTTCTCCCTAAAATAGACTATAGTAGAAGTAGGGATAGGAGTGAGATAGATATTACCAATTGATAAAAAATAATAATAATTCTATTGGGAAGGAGTTGGAAGATAAAATTTTTAACATTTCTTCTTTTTCCATTTTTAGTAGTGTAGATTCTAAAATATTTTGGCATTTTGTTTGACTCAATGACCACGACCATGAACCCCTGCTAAAGTCCTAGTTTTGGAAAAAATGTAATTGACCGTGGGATCCATATCGTCTATATTTGTAATGGCAACTGTACGCTGTAATTAATGGTTCAGTTGAAATAATTTACAATTTGATGATTGAATTGTAGATTTGGCACAAATTTCAATAAGTGACAAAAGTTGTTGTGTTTTTACATTTCATTATTTTAGTTTCTAGGTACATCAGTCAGTTTAATGTCAACATTTACTTAGATTCTACGTTGTACTTCGCTGCTGCAGAAGCCCTAGATCCTTGATTATCCTCCATATTTACCATTATATAGACATGTTTGAGCAATTGTCTGGATGGGTAAGTCTCGTGGGTTCCCCTTAGATTGAGTGAGATTCACTTTGATGTGCGTTGAGTATAATTAAATTATCCCCTGTATTGATATTTGTTGAAAAAAATATAGTCATGTTTGGATTATATTTTTTTAAATTTTTTTAAATAAATTATTATGACAATTAAATATATATGAAATAAAAAAATAATTAAAAAAATGTATTCACGACAAGTATAGTAATTTTCAATCAAACAAGGGTTTTAGCCCCTTATACGATACACATATTAAAATTTTGTCCTTCAAAGATCCAAAACATATCTCATGTTTGACAAATTGTCTACGGGCTAAGATTATGAAGGACAATTTGTCATTCATCCAATATTATAGGTGGCAATTTGCGATTAACATGAGATGTGTTAACTTCTTTTTTTTCTATCATTTCCTCCCCCTCCCCACCAAACAAAAAAAAAACAATTTCTTTCTCCATCTAGTCACCAAAAAGTAAAATAAAACAAGACAAACAACCAATCCGTATCCGTCTCTCCAACTGTAACCAGTCTTTGACAGTTGAAATTCCCATTTCGCTCAAAAGTTCAGTCCCCAATCGGATTCCTTAATTTCTCCAAAACCTAAAACCTCTCTCCCACACTCTCTGCCTCCCTGTTACAGATCCAATGTCGATAGACAAATCCGACAAAATCTACGTAGCAGGCCACCGTGGCTTAGTCGGCTCGGCCGTCGTCCGAAAGCTCCAATCCTTAGGCTTCACAAACCTCCTCCTCCGCACCCATGCCGAGCTCGATCTCACCGTCCAATCCGCAGTTGAC